AATGTCCTAATATGTATACTACTGTTTTTTAACTAAAATATGTTAAAATAATCAATCACATATGTATATACATACCTAATCGGATCTCTAGGAAACAGAAAGAAACTTTTATTGCAGTTTAGTCCTCTACTCGGGCAGTTTTTTGCTACACAACTTCGCCCAGGCATTTTAAAAACACGTAAAAATTAACGATTTAAAAATGTTCAGAAAAACAAAAATAAATTATATAACACAAGAAACGAAAATAAACTAGAAAAACCAAATATATAACACAATAAACAAAAATAAAACAACAACTATAAAATATAACTCAAGAAATAAACAAAATAAATTAATCCGTACGCTACTGACTCGAATCAGCCGAAAGTGTGCGCAGTCGATGAAAGAAACTACGACACTGGTTACTTTCTGTTGATGGAAACCCTAATGGCGGCATGCGCGACGGTATGCGCGTAGCGTTCCCGCCAAAGAGAGTTAGCCTGCCGTGTGATTTATATGCCGTGCCGGAGACATACTGAATAGAGGATGTTTCAAAAAACATGTGCCATCTCTCGTGAAGAGATGCCTCACGTAAAAATAAGATTCACTCCCCACGAGAGATGACACATGATTCTTGAAACACCCTGTACACTATTTTTTAAGTATAGTACCATAGTAGAAGGAAAAGAGTAGTTGCACATGAGTTGCACTGTCCCAAATATTTTCTGCCAGTTTTTACAATCTGTCGAATATCGGCAGATTGCAGAGCGTTTCAGTTGAGTTCCGTCCGTCGATCTGCGAGGTTCGAGCGTTGCGTCCCAGCACAGAGACGGATTGATAAAAAATGAGTGCCTTATTATGTGCTGCTATTGGTTGTAATAATAATTCAAAATATTGTGATTTGAGTTTTTTTGAGAGTCATTTGTGATCATGTTTTTGTTCAGGTTAATATTCTCATGACTGATTACTATTTAATAATTTGATATTATTTTCATTTAAACCTCAATTTTTTATCGATTTTACGTTTGACAACCATCCCTTGCTTGCTGTTTAACGAACTGTACCATCATTGAACAAAAATTTGCTAGTACCGAAAGTACAGGTTCCATGTATTAACGTACCATAACCGTGAATCGCCCTATACAGGGTGAGTTTTAAATAAGTGCAAATATTTTTAGGGTTAGTATATTTTGACCCCACAAATATGAGGATTTCTCTGCGCATTTTTTTTAAGCCTGGATTTTTTTTTAGTTTTTAGTTAAAAAACATAATTTATTGATAATATGGTAACTAGGGTTCAGAACCGGAAATTCCCTGTTCTTTCGGTACAATAACAAAAAAATGAATCTTTTATTACGTGAGAAAGTAGTGATGCCATTTCTCATTGTTCTTCCTTCTTTTCTCTTTTGAAATTTCTCTAATGTTTATTAGCAATTATTGAAGTTTAAATATGTTATTTTATTATTAGTACAATGTGTTGTTCAATGTATTAGTTATCCAATGAAAATCACCTAACCAATATATTACTACAAAACAAACACATTAATGTTAAATTTCAACTTGTTAAAAAAAGTTGTAGAAAATCTTTGAAATAGATAATCAAATAAAAATATGTCATTACATATTTTTTCCGCATTTCTTCCCATCAGAAAATTTTCAGATACAGAAGAATTGTTACTTACACGAAATGTGAAAATATTCTGTTTTCAAGCAAATTTTTACTCGATGATCAATTTTTTTTATTTCATTTTATTGTGAACTCATATTTTCCTAAATATATCTCTGTGAAACTATGGCGAATGCAACGACTATACTTTGCCTAGTTATAGACCACGACTATACAGCTACGTCAGTGGCCACGGGACGCGAGAACAAGGTCATATAAAGTGGCAGAAAAAGAACAAAGGATTTGACAAGGAGTAAAGCTACTAGTTTCCTTATACTATGATAGTACTGAACATTAATTTTATAAATTGCAATATGTCATTAATTTTAATGCTTTACTCTAGTTGAAATTTAATTTAATTAAGTTTTTTAATGGGGTTAACCAGACCTACAATAAATTGATGGTTTTATTTTTTTTCTCGGCTACAGGGTATTTAAGATAATTACAAAAAAACATTTTTTTTTAAAGTTGAACATTCTGTATCGTTAAAACATAGGCTTACATCTCTGAAGAAAACTTAATTAAATCAGGTTGGCTCCAAACTATTGTTTTTATCAATCTGAGCCTGAAGTCATTTAATCACTTTGGTAGACATTTTTTTTCGATTCAATCTGAAAAAGAAACGGTGGAAAAATGCAAACGCGACTGGTGGAAATTCGAGATGAAAATGGCGTTTTGTTTAGGGAAGAAGAATGATCGAGATCCAAGAGAGACACCGTCTATCTCAAGCAGGCTTTCAGTGCTGAGTGCTGAGTGCTCTTTTGAAGAGCAATCGATTTTCAAGAGCTCCCAACTCTTTTAATTTATTAGAATTAAAAAAAGGGTGGTAACTAATAGGAAACGCTATCAAACTAAAATGTTTTTTACTGGAAATGCTGCAAAAAATCTTTTTGTAATTATGTTTTGAATCCACGGACTCGGTTCTTAGCCTTATCATAACATTTTAATATTGTTTCATTATCTTAAAATTTGCTTGGTCCTTCATTACAATTTTTCCAAAAAAATTTGGAAATTTGATTTTGTTTATTTTATAATATGATGTAGTTCTGAATGTGTACTTTACAAAACTGTTCCGTTTTTAGGATTAAAGGTTGATTCTCACTATAACTTCCATATCAGCTCCCTTCCGTTTACATTAAATATTATATCATGTAAAAAAATAGGACAATGCACACTATCCGTCCCGTTTCATATATCCTGTCCATACAGTTTTTTGGTGGACGGACTGAAGTGTATCGGAAACAGCGTTGTCAAGTTCTTATATTTGTATCAGCTCTGTTAACATTTTGCTGCTATTTACTTCTCCTTTCACCTCTTAATTAAATCTATTACAAATTGTTATTAGATAACATTTTGATAGTCTTAGCAGCGTTTTTTATCTTTTGATTGCTTTTTCAAAATGCCAACAACTTCAACTACTTCAAACAATAAAGGCATTTTGAAAAAGCAATTAAAAGATAAAAAACGCTGCTAAGACTATCAAAATGTTGATCTAATAACAATTTGACGTTTATACTATTATGTCAAAAGCAACTCTTTTCGAAAGCCTACCATGACTTCACTGAGGCATTGTTTCTTGTTCACTCTTATTAATATCTTAATTATTAGATATTAATGCATCTGGTATTAATGTATCCTGGTATATTGTCAATTTTAAAATAAACTAACTGTTTCTATCTTATTTTTTGGTATTTACCTATTATAATTTTGCTAAAATCTTCGGTTTGAAAGAAGATACCAAGATTCGGCTTTCGCTGACTTTTTAAGCTTTTACGACTCTTTACTATCAGCTAAAATTACATATACTATCGTATTTAATTTTTTTGAAAAAACGCGCTTTGTTTCTTAAATTGTAAGAAAGCGCCCCCTAGCGTCTACGTTCAAAATCTTATTATTATTATTTCTATGGTATTATTTCTATGGAGCCCTCGTTTGTTGGATTCTGATCATCCAGTCCGAAGTTATTAACATTTAAATAAAGATAGATCTAACCTTCCCCCACCACTTTATTTTAGCAGATAGGGGAAAATGGTTCTAACAAAAAAAAATCCAAAATTTACTGAAGCTTATGAAGCTATCATTTATAGTACCCATCATCTAGGGAAAATTCTGTAAAAAAATTATTTTCTTATTTTCCACAGCAGTTGCGTCCTCTAGTGGCCAGTTTACAAACTTGAAAATAATTTCCAGCAATTTCTCATGGCCTATTTAGTTTCCGCAGGCTCTACGGCTAATAGCTTCCGAGATACAGCCGAGAGTTATTCTTAGTGGGACATCCTGTAGAATAAAAAGTATGGCACTGATACGGAACGGATACTTACGTATAGCGTCAATACAATAAAAAATACGGAATGGATATGGAATGGAAACGGAAGGTATAGTGAGAGTCAACCTTTAACACTTTTTGTTTCAGAAATATTTGTCGTGAAAACTTGCGAAAAACAGAAAAGAAAAAAATAATTCTTTTGTAGATTTTCCCAAATTAGTTAAGATTGTTTATTAACATTTCACTTTGACAAAAGTCAAGGAAAAGTACGGGAAGGGTAAAAACTACCCCCACCGATTTGTTTTTGTAAAATGTTTTTTTTTGTATTTATTTTTGTGTATTATATCGTAACCATCCTCTTCAGTCCTTTTATTCAATATTTTCTACGAAAAATAGTCGATTAAGACAACCATAGCTACTTTAACCCACCTCTAAAATCCACTAATAGTTATTTTTTACAAGACGATAAAATGGTATTTTATCGTCGACCGAAAAGATAAATTCACGAGCGATGAAATCGCGAGTGAATTAATTTCGGAAGACGATAATGCAATTTTATCGTCGTGTGTAAAACAATGTTTTTTTCCATAGCGAGTTACGTTTTAAAAAATATTCAGAAATTATTATTTCAAGGAATTTATTACGAGTAGAAAAAATATTGTGCTGGGTTGGCGTTGGTTTCTATGTAATTTGACAAATAAATAAAGCTGTCTCTTTAGTTGTCAGTTTTGAGTCAACATTTTTTAATTCTCTTTCGTTCCGATTGCTGATTGAATTGGAGCCAGAAATGGCTCAAAACGAAATAAGTAAATTACCAACAGATATTCAGGCTGAGGCGACAAACGCCATATCCAAACTACTTCCATTTAAATCCCGAATAACTTATGAAAAGAAATACAAACATTTTCAAAAATTGAAGCAATTAAAAAACGTGCGAGAAGAAATAAAGTTCTTAACCTATCCTCGCTGTTAAAGTATCATTTAATCTACCCTTGCAATTAAAGTACTATTTTATCTACTATTTTTCATAGATCTAAGGCAATTTTAACAGTTGCTATGGAATAGACATATCTAATTTGTTACACTCACCTATTCACTACCAAACTATCCAACACTTTCTGGTCCCTCTCGCTCCTCACGCTCACCAAATGCCCCCCTTTCTTCGCGCACTCCTTTTCCCCCATTCTCCAGCTCATCTTGCCTTCCTCCTCGGCTACGCTGACGCAAAACTGGTCGCCCAACGCCACCCAACCGAACGCGCACGCACCCACCACCAATTCCACCGGTTCTGCGCGGTAGGTCATACGCAGACGCGGTGAAACATATGTCTGCGCAGACGACGCACCGTCGGTCTGCGCAGTAGGAGAATTGGATCGAGTAACAAGCAGCGCGACGCGGTTTGTTTTGGAGACGATGTCGATGGTGCGTTGTGGGTCGCCTGGATTGGAGCAATGTGACCAATGGAGATCGCCGTCGTGTAACTGGACTTGGAGACCATCGGGGCAGGTTGTGGAGTCGTCCTGGACGTCTTGGAAGTCGGGGATGGTTCGGGAAACATCTGGAAAAGAAAATATAATCTAAAAAAATCTTTCGTTAATCTTAAAAGTGTATACAGGGTGTTTCAAAAAACATGTGCGTCTCTCGTCACGTAAAAATAAGATTTATTTTTCATATCAACATGGGTCTGATTCTGCTTTGTTTCGTAGCTACAGGGTGTTAAAATCTTAATATTTTTTCGATTTATTATAATTTTCTTCCAAGTACTTTTAGCGTTACGAATGAAATTTTGAGGGAAAAGTTACTATAAATGCGACATATTTTTAAGCTAAAAAATTGTTGACATATTCACCAGGGACGTGCATATGGGTTATCACTGGAATATTTTTATGTCTACTATTGTTAGCGAATTAATGTAAGCGGTGTTTAATGCCGATTAAAAGTTGTCTTTTAATATTTTGTCGATTTCGGCCTCTTTAGTGGGATAAACGCAAATTTTATTAATTTTCCTTGATCCAAGTCTAATAACAACCTTTAAAAAAATTAATATCATTAACACTTTTTTAACATTAAAATATTTATTTTTACTGGGAACTAACGGAGCTTGCAGTTTTGTTTGGTCATATATGCGACTTTCAGATTTTTGAAAAAGTTAATTGCTTACTAGATATTTGGAAAAAAAAAACAAATTTCGGCTATTTCAAAATTGTTCCCAGTTGCATTATAATCTGATTTAGAGAAAAAGTTTATAGATATGAGTTAAAGGTAATCACACCTTTAACGTGACTGTGTTCTCGTTTTTTTTTTCTAAAACCTGTCATTTTGGACAAATGACGCAAACATATCTTTTTTTTAAATGAAAACCACAGTTATCCATGACTTCATAAAAAGCGCTATTTTTAAGCTTTCTAGCGATAGAGCTATAATAAGTTAAAAAAATGTTAAGTTTTGAAAAATTACTGAGTTATAGCCAATTCTTTTCATTTTTCACTAATTTCAGTTAGTTAACCATGGAAACAAGTTTTTATTATTTTTTATCTCATTAAGAAGATGGAAATCGACAAAATATCAAGGGACAACTTATAATAGGCATTATACAGCCTACACAAGTTTGCTAACAAGAAGAAAAAGTGTTTTTTGTTTAGAAAAATATTCCAATGATAATCCATATGCACCGTCTTTGGTGAATCTTTTAACAGCTTTTTTTAACATTAAGATATGTAGAGCTTATGTCTTAAAGCTGAAAAAGTAGTATGTAACCTTTACCCGCCAAATTTCATTCGTATTACTAAAAGTGCTTTGAAGAAAAATTATAATACGAAAAAAATATGAAGATTTAACTCCCTGTAGCTACGAAATAAAGCAGAATCGGACCTATGTTGATATAAAAAACCAATCTTATTTTTACGCCAGGAATCTTCCCACGAAAGATGGCACATTTTTTTGAAACACCTTGTATCCTTTTAATGGTTTTCTTTAATAAATCTAAATAATTTTTGAACTAGTTATATACAAAATTGCTGTCATTTTATTCGTACTCTATTTAAGATTTATACTCTACAACCCCTCGAAACGTAATTAGGATATTTTCTTGTCGCTGATTTTATTTTCAAGCCTCCAAAGACGCCAAATTTGAAATTCAAAAGACTCGCCGGAAGTGTGTCTCCATTACACCTACCCCTTAATAATGCATGAAGTTGGCCTGTTGGAAAATCCAGTTTAGGTAGCTTGTTTGAAGGCGAACTTGCCTTACTTACCTCCAGCTCAGTTCCCATTTCGTGGAAAAGATTGGGGATCGGTATAGAGAAATAACGCATTGGGGATGTGCAGTGGGGATTTATACAGTGAACCTGTATAAATATAATAACCATATAAAAAACAATAACTTAAATTTTATCATTCTTTCATTGATTCTATTTATTTGAAATACGATTCGTCATAGACATAAAATTAGTATTTCAGCCACAGAAAAGCTCATGAAAGAATACGCTTTGCGTAACCATCTTCTGATGCGTGTCAAATACTCGTCAGCGAGTAATGGCAGTAAGTAAGTCATGCGTTATTTTGCTATAGTAATTAATCGATAAAGTTTCTGAGCACAGTTATTCTCCTGATGGTACCCAAGTAGCATTTTCACGACTTGCGACCACATGTTTACTAAACACAACGTTGGATTAGTTACAAAAAATAGTTAGCTCCGTACCTTAGGTATTACAATAAATGTAAACGTTGTTGTAACGTTGTGCCGACGTTGAACTAGTATTACAACAAAGTAAAAGCTTCTGCGACGTCGAATAAACGTTGTCTTAATTGTAACCTTTTTTGCTTAAGTGATCGTCTGGTGATTCGGACAACGTAGTTACAATGTTGGGCAATAAAGAGTTTTCCGACGTCACTTTCAGGACCTATTCCAACGTTATGCAACAACGTCGTCTGTTTTACTAATTCCAACGTTGTTTAGATTTCCTTATTCTTACGTTGGTAGGACGTCGAGACACTACCTTTTTGCAACTGTATTGAACCATAACCTTAAATCTTAAATTTTCACTTCATTGTTCTGTTCAGTCAGACAGTTCAGTGCTGTTTTTGTTTTTATAAAAAAACTTAATTAAAATGGAACATAAGAAAGGTACATATAAAACTAAATTTAATTATACATCGACATATTACCGACACTTTATCCACTCCCTCGTTTACTTAGAATATAGAGGGCGGCACAAGCTAGACTCTAGGATGACTAAATTAGGCAATCTTGCGACTAGTATACTAGGCTGAACTGCGACTTTATTAGTCCAGTATGCGACTACTCGGACTACTCCATCTTAATCTCCAAAACAACAAAGTGAAAGCCGCAATGTTGTTGAATAAGAAAATGTTTCGTTCCTAAAATAGCAATTCCTGCTTTTTGAATACAATAACTTGAAATATTTGACCCTAAACAACACGCGGAAAAATTTTTTTCGACTGCGAATAAATTATTCTCATTTTACTAAAAAAAAAATTCAAGAAATTTTTTAAAACTTCTTCAGTTTTAAGGCCCATTAGTATTTTTCAAAGTAGAAACAATACATTTATCAATAAAGTTGTTTGCGTTTAACTTTTTTGCCTTGGGTAACGAGTTACAGAGTCGGTTAAAGTGTTTCAATAATTATGATCTTCAAACATCCTCCATACTTAAATACTTTTGTTTTGTTTTCCTTTACTGCCATCTGGCATATGTCTCTAACTAAATCATAAAAATAATATTTTTTACTATAATTATCCCAATTTAGGATGAAACGCGACTTAGAGGCCATATTATTATAGTTTTGTATTTCTGTGAATTAGGATTTTAAACAACTTTGCAGTTTGTACTAAATTAGGCTGCTAGCCAACGTCGGTATCCAACGTCGTTTCGATTCAAAAATTATTCTCCAAACTAGTGCAGACTAGGGTTGGCACGAGGTTGTGCCGACGTTGCGCCCCGACGTTTGGTCGCGTGACACAACGTTGTCCCGACGTCCAAATGCTGCTTGGGTAGGTATAGTGACCATCAATTCTAAGTTTTTGTTGTATGTATTATTGTTTTTACTGCCTGCTTCATACTTTTTGACGTGCGTTTTACTGCTTTTACGGCTTCTTTTGCTGTTTTTGCTATCTGTTTTACTGTTTTGCCTCTCTTTTTGTAGATGTATAAAAGCTGAAAATATAAAACAGGAAAAGAGATAACAAAAGCAGCAAAAGAAACAGTAAAACACACGTCAAAAAGTATGAAGCAGACAGTAAAAACATTAATAGAGAGCAAAATCATTACAAGTCTGCTGTTTGGCTCAAGTACCTCCATACCTAATGGCGCCAGCACACTAAGGGATAGAAGGTAATGAAAAATCAAACCATCCAGTTAGAGAAGAAATAAACACTCCACTAACTGGACCAGAACCGTTCTGCTTCCCAAGTGAAAACCAACTTAAAACAGAACACAAGAACCTGAAAGAACCATCCGTAACCTTTAATGGGAATCCTCCAACGGTCCAGGACAATCAAATAAATTTCTCAGGACAACCGAGAAACATCAAAGATCTTCATTGGTTTAAGTAAGAGCAATCTTCGGAAATTCACGGAATTTTTAACAGGACACTTCTCCTCAATGAATACCGCAGTAGATTGAAGTGTAGGGAAAATGGGGAAACACTAGAACACTTCATCACTGAGTCCCTTGAGACGACTACCATTCGTGCTATAAACTTTGGTACGACCGAAATCGGAGATGGAAAGCTAAGCTCGGTAAAACCGTCTCAGATACTGCCTTTTGTCAAAGCCCTGAGACTGTATGATGAGTTATAACTCGTTATAGCTCAAGAAAGGGGAATACACAATAGATCTGTAAAGTCGCGATGATTAAACCCCCCTCCCAAATATTCTGCATTCTATATCTGAAGACATAATATACAAAATCGCCATCTGGAGTCTAATAATCATCATATTATTGTCTTGTTTTACTAATATATGCGTGTATTTTACTGTAGTAATTAACCGGGAGAAGTTCATAGTCACTACAGTTATTTTCTAATAAGAAGATATATGACTATCAAAATCTGAAGACATGGAAGATTTATACATATACTATACTGCCATTATTTGCTGACGATTATTTGACACGCATCAGAAGATGGTCACGCAAGGCGTTTTCTTCCATGAGCTTTTCTGTGACTGAAAGGCCCGATACGTGATGTTATCTGTCTACCGCACTCCATATATTCAAAAATCTCATTGCTTTTTTGCCTCTTTACTTTTTGATTGTCGCTGTTAACTGAGTTTACAATTCTTCTCCAATGAGTTCTATTGTGAGCTGCTCCTTCCCACACATTCTGCATGTTAATCCCCTTTAAGTTTTCGTGGAAAATGTCCTTGTACCTTTTGAGTTGTCCACCCGACCGTCTCCATAAGTTCACCGTAAAGCAGATATATTGGTATGCGATTTTTTTGCATTCTGCATAGGTGACCAGTCCATCTTAAGCGGGATTTTGTAACCATGACTCCAATACTCTCGCAGTTAGCTTTTTCAAGGACCGATACGTTTGAGACATGATGGAACCATTTGATTCTTAAGAGTTGTCTAAGGTGTCTCTGTTCATTGCCTGGAAACTTATATGGTGAAATTTTGATAAAATAATTTAGTACACACTAAAAACACGGTATGTCGCTAGTGGTAGGAAAAATAATTTTTAGAGGTTACTAGTTTATTTGGTTGCCTGTGATATGCATATACAGGGTGTTTCCTAATTAATCTAAAAAATAAAAAAATCGTTAGAAAACGAATTAAGGCGGGCTCTTAATAAGTATATTTATTTTTTCTCGACAACCGTTTGATGAACAAGAAAAACTCAAAAGATCAATTTGGTTGAAAAAGGATGGCCAGTCAAGAAAAAAATATATTTTCTTTAAAAAAGCAGTGGTGTACCATTTATGTTAAGCAAAAAAATCGATTTTTTTTAATTTTTAACACTCTGTAGATCAGAAAGGAAGTACTTTAGACCCAATGGTTGTATAAAAATTGTTTTAAGAACACATGAGGAATCACCCCAAAATTTTTTTAGACTAATTCGAAAACACCTGTATATTGTCAACTTGACAATGACTGCTGATAAATCAAAAAATACCTTTTCAGTGAAAAAAGCCTGATTTTCGCAGGAAAAATTTTGATTTTTATTGAATTTGGGCCTGCGTTTGCAAATACTCGTTTGTTTTTTAATTTTCTATCTATCTAAATTTTAAATATCATAGTCAGAAATAGTTTTATTATTTATTAACTGTAAAAATGGTGTTTTCTTGTTGTGTTGCATCTTGCAAAGAAACTAACAAAACTGCAAAAATATACGTGTTTCCAAAAGACGATAAGGTATGTATCTTAGATTGTGTCTTAGATAAAAGAAAAATATATATGGTATGTATTCGTTGTTTGATTTTTTTTCGTTCGCTTTAAAATCTATAAATCCTGGTCTATTCATTAGACAGCCAGTCGACTTACGATCATTTACATGAAACTCTGTAAAATAAATGAAAAAATAAATTGTGAAATATATATATTCTTATGTTTTATTAAAGTTACTCTGATATACTAATATATCAGTGTAACTTTAAAAATAAATCCTTTGAATTCAAATATAAACATAAAAAACATTTACAGCAGAAAAGGCGAAGGCGCTGGGTTAAATGTAGTCTCCACTAAAAACACGGAGGGGCACTTTGACCCAAAATTTTACTATTAAGTTTCATATCTATCTTAATAGTAGATTATTTTCTTTTATCTATGTCTCTGTTGCAACTTGTTTAAGGCGTTCATGTGTCGGCGGTACGGCGCCCAAGTTTCTCTCCCATACAATATGGTGGGGATTATTATTGCTCGGTACACTGCAAGTTTCGTTTTTGTGCTCAAGTCATGGTTGTAGAAAACCCTGTCTTATAATTTCCCGAATTTCAGAGCCGATATTGGCCTTTTCCGAAATCAAACTGCCGAGGTAATTTAATTCCGCTACATATTCCAATAGTTCTTCTCCGATTTTTATAGCATTGTTGTGATCTTCTGGAGGAGTGCATATGATTTTAGTTTTGTCGATGTTTAGCTTAAGACCCATGTAAGATTTAGATAAATTAAAACAGACGTAGACAACTATTAGGATATTCAATCTAAAGAAAAAAACTAACTAATAACACTCACCTTTAGATACACCATCTCCCATATGCAGTTTGAGTGCAACACGATTCCCGTAGGGCAAATGCACCCGGAAAGTACACTGCAGTCCTCCAAGTGGTTGCAAGTCAAAGTGACCTTCTGCCTTCGTGAAGGTGACGTTGTAGCAGTGATCCACCAATCGATAGGCTACCGTGAAGGTAGGAGACCCGTGGAGGTGCATCGGAGGTGATGTCAGCCCAGCTTCTGGGAAGTAGAATGTTCGTTCGTGGTCTGGAAGTTCTTCAAGCTTTCCTGTAAGATTAAATAAAATATTTGTTATATTATTTTATTAATAATGTGGGATTTTTTTAAGTTTGCTATTTATTTTATTATACGACCTGTACAACAAGGAAGACGTCAATGACGCAAGCACGTGTTATAACTTTAATTTTTTGCTAAATTCATTTTGAGACCTACTTTATTGCTGGCTTTATTTATTTCGTTAATTTGTGTTTGTAGTTCTTCAGGACTATTGACAATCAGGACTATATCATTAGGGAATCTTAGATGGTTAAGAGATTCTCCATCTATTTCAATCATTTGTTGATTGACGGAAGATTTCTTCTAGTGTTGCTGTAAACAGCTTTGGAAATATTACGTCTCCCTGTCGTACTCTTTTTCCATTTGGGAATTCTGGCGTTGTTTTATATATCAATACTCTTGACTTGGCTTCTTTGTATATATTGGCGAGAGATTCTATATAAGGCCTGTCGATATCTTGTTTCGCTAGGGTTTCTATTATTACCTTAAGATCGGCTGGTAGTTTCTCTTAGTGTATGTATGTGATCAATCGTGCTGAAGCCGCTTCTAAAGCCTACTTGTTCTCGTGGTTGTGCAGCATCTAGCGTCTTTTGTATTCTGTTATTTATTATTGTCGACAAGGGTGTTGCCTGTCACCAACTTTATACAAAATATACGTCAACCAAGTTTTAAAGCAGTGGAAAAGCAAGTGTAAAGGCATGGGCATACCAATAAGTAAAGATTCTTGCTTATACACTTTGCAATTCGCTGACGACCAGGTTATTTGTGCAGGAAACAAAGATGACTTGGAATATATGACACGAAAACTTAAAGAGGAATACCAAATTTGGAGACTGGAGATAAATATCACAAAAACTAAATATCTCTGCGTTTAGATAAATCCAGGAAAGACGACAACGAAATAAGCTCGAGAATAGTCAAGGCTAAAAATTCAATAAAATATTTGAATAATATACTCTGGAGTAAAGAAATAAGGTAAAGACAGAAAACTAAGGATTTATGATGCGATAATCAAGAGCAATCTGTTATTTGGGATGGAAACATGGAGGTTAACGGAGAATAACAAAAGAAAAAATTACTGGCGGTAGAAATGGACGCGATAAGGAGATCAGCACGAACATCAAGGCTGGATAGAGTACGAAACGAGATAATCAGCGACAAAATGGGTAGACAGAAGATTATAGTAGAGGAAATAGGGGGTGCCCAACTGAAGTAGTATGGACATGTGAGAAGGATGGACAACACGTGACTGCATCAGAAGGTCCTAAACTGGCTTCCACAAAAGAGAAGGAAACGGGGAAGACCAAAAACAAACTGGATGGAGGGTGTCAAGAAGGCGATAAGCTCAAGGGATCTGCGTGATGGAGACTGGGATGAAAGAAACCAATGGCGACTAGGCATCGCACAACGTCGAAGGACGTTTTAAAAGCGATTCTTATATATTTTATTTATTATTGTATATATCTTGTTGGTAGTAGGCTTATTATTGGTCAATAGTTTCTGATGTCCTCTTTGCTGCCTTTCTTATGAATTACAATTATGTTCTATTCCAGTCTTGCGGTATATGTTGCTGTATATTACTATACGAGTACACCAACTGTCTAAGGAGAAATCATATACCGTAACAGTTTATATATAAGACAATATAATTATTAATTATTTCTATATTGAAAACAGTTCACTTTATACGTCATACCCTTGCTTGGGGTAAAATATAATCCCCCAGATATTCTTGCTGCGTTTCAACAATTAATAAAATTTAAACGAAATCATTCTCTCTAATTACACAAAACCTATTTTCCATTGGTGCAATATTCGGAATATTTACCCTGCGTTGCATTTTACAATGGAAATTGTTAATTCCAATGGAAAATCAATAGGGGACGGTTAACAAAATTGAATATTCATACCGTAATTTACAGCATAATGATTGGAACGTTGGTTTCGATATAATTACAATAATTTACCAAACATATAGGTATCGAAAAAAAGTGTAAGAGTGTAACAACCCACAGGATCGTTCAACACAAATTGAGGAGGTAAGGTTTTGGCCAACTGTATAACAAACAATTTAAATGAAATAAAGGAACCTACGTTGTGTTAAAAATATTTTTTAACCTAAGCAATATTAGGGAAATTTGAGGAGAAGAGGCTATATGTAAATCAAACGCTAAATTTGTAAATAACTCTACTTATTTTATTAAATGAAATGAAAGGAGTGCCGGATTCTGCCTAAAATTTACAAGTAAAAGAGCACGGAAGAGAAAACCTTGATTACTATTCCAAAGAATCCAACTATGCTGTTCTGAACTTTAATAAAAGAGAAATAATAATAATACAAAAACTGTCCTCATTCCAAGGATTGTAGTTTAATACATTCAAAACATGCCACATTTATTACTTTCAACACTGAAAAGTTTTTGTTAGTTTAGCAGGTCCCCACCCGCGGTTACTAAGGTCTGTGGTTTTGAGGCTCGAAGCTAAAGCTGAAAGTTTGGTGCAAATATCTTTGGACTATGAGTTATTCTATTATTTGGTTTTGATTGCTCATTTGTTTGCTAAGATATTCGCCCAGTCACGGTCGAAAAATATAACATTACGCTCAACAAGGCCCTTATTGTCACACTGAACCAAAAACATCGGCACGAATTAACAGTAAACGATTCTCAGCGATTCGAAATTATTCACAGCGTAAGTCGATTCCATTAAATACATACATGCATGTTATATAATTTCCAGATGAAATAAATAAGGAACAGCTTTAACACATAATATTAAAACAGGAAAATAAAATATATTGTTGCGAGCCGGTGTGGACTCGACCTAACCTCACAATATGGCCCGCCCTCGGATGACCTTAACATCGCATAGACACCGCAATGATTCATTCGTTCGAGAAGAATCGAGACCCACTAGAATGGACTAGTACATACGAGAACATTCGAAAACCTTCTCTATGCGCCTAACGATCTATGGACTATTCTAGATTTCTTTTGCTGTAGGTATAAAAGCCGGCGGCAGTGGCCTAGGAGAGGGCAGTTATAAATATAACAGTGCAGTTGACGCGCTAAAATTCAAAATAAATTCTTAGTTATAAATCGTTTGTAAATAGTTCTATAAGTCTTTTATCGTTATTGTTTTTGTTAATTAGTGTTAAATAAATAGTGTTTAAATAAATTGTGACTTTCTATCCACACGGAACCGACGAAAAACGTAACAATTGGTGTCAAGTGTGGCGTGTGTGAGGATCCTGACACATTTTGTTTTGAGTTAGAAGGTGATCTTGACTCGTCATTGAAGAATTTGCAAGAAAATTTAAACGACAATTTGAACAGTAAGATAATTAATTTAGAAGAAAGTTTGAATACTAAAATCAATACATTAGAAGATAAAATCATCGAAAATTCTAAAGATATACAGGCCAGCTTTAATAATAAAATACAGGAATTAGAAGAAAAGATAATAGATACACAAGACAAAATAACTGAGATTGAGGAAGATGTAAATAGAAAAATCGAAATTTTGAAAGAACAAATAGCGAAGTCAAATTCACCAAAATGTCAAGAAACATCGGAGGGACCGAAACTAGTCGAAAATAGGTATACCTCAAAATCAGTTATGAAACCTCCGCAGTTTGACGGAAAAACCGCTTGGGCCAACTACTTTTGCCAATTTGAAGCCGCTGCGAGAGCAAACGGCTGGACAATCGCTGAAAAAGCTACCGCTTTGACTATCGCACTGCGGGGAGATGCGACTGATATCCTGCAGACACTGTCACCATCGGAACAGGGAGATTATCAGCAATTGGTACGACATTTAGAAATGAAGTACGGCCAAGCTCATTTGGAACATGTCTATCATTCCCAACTAAAAAATCGCATTCAAAAGGCAAATGAGTCTCTGCAGGAGTTTGAAGCCGACGTAGCCCGCCTCGTTCGCCTTGCGTACCCTGCTACGCCCGAGAATGTTATGGAGCGGTTGGCAGTACAGGCATTCTCCGACGGCTTACGTGACAACGAGACAAGACAAGCACTTCTCCTAGCCCACCCAACGCACTTGGTGGATGCTTTAGCACGTGCCCTAGAATTCGAGGCCGCGAAACAAAGTTCTCGGTCTTTAGGAAGAGTACGGGCCATCGACGAATGTTCCGACGAATCCGTGGAAGGGATTGTTCGGAAGGTAATGGACCAGTACATGGGCAAGAAGGACCGATTCGTTGCTGGAACTGGCGGACAGGTGGGACACGTGCGAAGCCGTTGTAAGGAGAAGAACGAAGAACCGGCTTCGTCGAGGTCGGAAAACTACTAAGGGTCGAAATGAAGGGGGCACACGTCGACCTGTACCCAACATGCCCCAACGAAAACTGCTCAAGTCGCCTCGCTACAAACACAAATTCAACAGCATTTTTGTGGATGGTTTTGTTGATGGAGAGTTCCGGACCATGCTGTTGGATACAGGTGCGATGAAAACTATCATCAGACCGGACATTCTTAAAACATCGAAGAAGGTTAAAACAACACAATGGCGACTACGTACTGCTACGGGGGCTCCGCTGCTGTCCATGGAGAAGTAAACCTTAATTTTGTTATTGGGAGCACCAGTTTTGAACATCCAGTGTTAGTAGCAGATATCGAAGATGAACTTATTCTCGGAATGGACATCATGACCACTAGAGGTTTTGAGCTAAACCTCAAACAAGGAATTTTGAAAATAAATGAAGAAGAAGTGGTTCTGCATCGAAAATGTGAGGAGACGCTTCGCGTGGTGGTAGCAGAAGATGTTTCGATCCCTGAGCGCTGTGAGATATTTTTGGATGGTTGCCTAGAAGGTAAAATGAATAATGGGAGTATTATTCTGTTGGAGCCAAGGAACCATGACAGCGAAATAGGACGAGGGATCGCTGTTGGAAAAGCCCTGCTACGAGCGAAGAAAACTGTACCGGTGAGAGTAATGAACACGAATTATTATTCTGTATCCTTGAAGAAGGGAAC